CTAAAAGGCATTCAGACTCACCAAAATTTCCACTCTGCTCCAGAAAACCAGAACCCTGGCAGTTTTTCAGCAAGGAGCCAAAAGCAGAAGTGAAGCATAAGCAGAGCAGAACAAAATTATAGAAAGTATTGCTTCAGCATCCCCCTTAATTGCTGTCTTGTCATCAAGACTGATGGGCATCAGATAGGTTTTGTGTAGCCAGCAGCAAAGATCTAAATTGCACAGATCAATACATTAGTTGCCTTGCTTTGGATGGCAGATCTGTTATTCCTTTTATCATATTCCTACATATTGACTCTAATTGCCACTCAGTGTTTTCAGACCAGTGGCTGGTGTACACACAGACTCTAGGGCTCCCAGTGTCCGATCAAAAAGTACTGTGGCCACATTGTTCATTGCATGGGAGTTCACTGTAAGGGAATTGGACTAGATGATCTTTACAGGTCCTTTTCAACTCAAATGATTCTATAATTATATGATTCTGTAATAAAAACACTGATTCTGTTAAACTCAATGGTTCAATGATGTTAAAACCGGCAGATTAACTTCAAGTCAGCAGGCTTTGTAGCCAATGAGATATCATCTGTCCACACCTTTCTGTTTCTGTTAGAACATGAACATGCATTTCTCATCTTTGCATACTGCATAAAAGCAACAACATCTATAACACCGGCTCAGCCTTCTCTGAGCAATTTATCAATGCTGAGACTAGGGATTCAAGCACAGGTTAATGCTGTGATCAGTAAGGGGGTTGATTCAATAATGCAGTGATTGCTCTTGATAAAATTATGCCATAACATAATTTTAGCCTAGAAAGCCAATTACATACATGAATTTTTCTGCAAGGGTTCAGGGCTAGGGCTGGCTCAGGGTGGCTTCGACTCGCTGCACATGCCGAGCTTAATCGAACTTTGTCCTCCCTGAATTTCAGATTAAGGGCTGACATCCCACTCACGACTGAATTCACCTGCGGGTGTATCTATCATATCATCAGCTGTGCTGAGAGGATATTAGGTATGCTGCTCCTGAGTTAAAAGTTGATTACTTACAGGGCTCAGAATCATTTTTCAGCCTGAGGCCACGCTCCTTTCATACATCTAAATGGGTGTTTAAGTCTTATTTCCAGATATCATACCAAAAAAGGTGTGGGGGTATTTATCTTCAGCTAAAAAGCGTGTGGGAGCTCCTAGTCTGCTTCTCAATAAAGAGCCAAATTCTTACATTCCAATCAGAAATGTGTTTTCTTCTCACCTAACGACAAAAAATTAATTATAGATTGAAAGTGAATATTTTCCTTTTCCTTGCAATAAAATTTAAATACTTGGGTTTTTCATGGTTCTCATTGCAAGACAGGATTCTTCATGGTAGTACCTATGACACGCTCAAATATCACCCTTCTGCTTCCATCACTGTTCTCCCTCTTCTGGGGGCCAGGCACCAGATTTGGCTCATGGTTAAGCCATCAAAAATACTGTTAGCTCCATCTGGAACTTGGGATGTGGAAAGGGAAGAAAAACCAACGCTTAGTCCTTCAGCTGCATGAAATACAAGCTCAGCAGGAGCTCAGGCAAATGTCTGAAACACAGTGCCTTGTGTAGTGCATAAGGGTGATGATGCTAAACAACAGCAAGGAGCGAGTAGGGATCAAAGAGCATAATTTAAGCCTACTGGTTTGTTGAGTTGAATTTCCTGGCTGGATAATAGCCATCTTTCCTTACCCTCGTCAGTGCTCTCTCATTGTCAAAAGGTCCTTGTACTCATCTGCCTCAAGTAGCCATGTATTATTCTTCTATTTTTCTCTATACTTCATTTTTTCTCTCCATTAAAACTGAGCAACATGAATTGTCTCTCTGTTTATCCAACTTTTGTTTCTAAATGATTTTATACTTGGCTTTTAAAATAATTTCAATTAAAAGCACATTTTTATTTTCCCAATTTTTTCTCTGCTTAACATAGACAATTAAACCTCTAAAAAACCCACAGAATTCCTAAAAATTACTAAGAAATGATATCGAGACACACTATCTTCACAGTATCATCCAGATAGTAGAAGTTTTAAAAATGCATTAATATTACCTGAAAGTTTGATTGCTTCATCCATTTCATTGCTTCAGCAGCCTAAAATTGAAATTTCCAATATTATCTCCTAAATGTGAGTTAACTCTGGTCAAGAGCTATTTTTGCACTATTTGTAATTTGATTTGTTCTTTTTCCTTTGCTCATAATTACATCAGAAAATCATGAGTACTGTCCATGTAAACAATTTGGTTTAGCAATTGCAATGATGCTGAAAAACTAATCCTAAAATCACAAGAAAAACAGCATCTGTATGTCAGGAAGATATCTCACTATTCTGTATCAGTGATGGTTTTCTTATCTGTAATTACTGACAACTCTACAAAGCACTTAAGAATTTTCTAATGAAAGCACATCTTAGGTCTTAAATGTTGTTGTATTACTCTGCTTCGCTGAAATCAATCCTTCAAGTGACCCAGTTGCAAATTTTTGTGTAGAGTTAAAACTCAGAGCCCCACGCTAGGTTGTTCCTGGATTGTTCCTAGGTTGTTCCATCCAAATTCATGGTCATTTTTATTCTAGAATTAGATAAACCTGGGTAGGGCCACCAAATTACAGTATGTTTTTGGAATGGTAAGTGGTCTGCTACAACCATACTGATCTTGTGGAAAACCTAGCATTTGTCGGCCTTGAATAAAAAAGTCTTGACTCATTCTCAGATGTTGGGATTCATATGTGATAATGAGGTTTCAGCGCATGCAGCATGATGATGTCAATCCACTGGCAAAATTCAAGACAGTTCCCAGTCTAAAGTCTGACTTCAGCTTATACACAAACTTCAGTTAAAAATAAATGATGGTTCTGTTAGAGTTCTGTCACAGATATGGGTTGAATGTTGGGTGGTCATTTGTGTAGCCAGGAGTTGTCTGGTCCCTTCCAGCTCAGATATTCTAGAATTCCATGATGATGGTCTGAAGGAATGGAAAGTCTTATGAGGTATTATTAATGACAAGAATTTGGCCTGGATGCAGCACATCAGGTGTGACTATCTCATGTTCTGGTGACTCAATCATGCAGGGGAATAGGAACATATATTGTCTTACTTACGGTTGTTTATAGATGGAAAGGTTGATTTTCCAAATACTATCTGAATCACTGACAGTTAATTAAAGGAAGCCTCTGCTTATTGGTAGGTCAAGAAGGGCGGCATATGCTTCTCATCAGTCACATTTCTCATTCATAGTTTCTCATTCATATAGTTTCACAGAAGATTCTTCTGCTAACCAGCTGCTTCAGAAATGTGTCATATGACAAACGTCAAGACTTGTATTCTTTTTTTCTTTAACATTGAACATAAAATCTCTATTGAATATGAACAAAAGATATTGAATGCGTTTTTGTGTGTAGCTGTCTGCTTAAATATACATTTAAGTGCTATTCTGGTTCGCTCTGAGGCTTTGCCTCAAGCCTTTCTTAATCCCCACAGCTTTTCATTGAACATTAGAAAATACATATCATTATCCTCCAAGATGGCTTTCTTCTCATGTGTAGCAGTTGTGCACTAGCCTCCACAGGAGGAACACTAAATGAAGTAGATTGCAAAGGTTTCCCAAACAGCCAGGAAGAAAGAAAATAAAAGAAATCAAACAAGCGGCATTTCCGTGATGAAATCTGTTTTACAAGCCTAGCATGGGAACAAGGAGAACCAGACAAACAGTAAACATCAGCCTGTGGTTAGAACTATTTCTGAAAATACAAGTCTTTTACCCTTGCTCTTTCTGCTCCAAGAGCCCCCATCACAGGCACCAGCACTCAGAGATAATCTCCCTGAATATCTGAGGCGTAGAAACCAGCAGGATTAAAGCACCTCGTGCTCCTCAGCACGGTCATGTGATGACCTGCTGATCCCAGCAAAAGGCATCGTTTCCCAGCAGAGATCTCACTTGGTTTCCTAGGCATTGTTCCTGCCTTCCTGAGGTTCTCTGTAGTCATTATTCTTGAAGGGAAAAAATAAGAGATGAAAGCAATTGCAACAATGACAACAAAACTCCTGCAGTTTTAGTAGTAACAATGATAGCTAAAGAAAACTGCACAATTTAAGTGCAATTTGCCTACAAGTAAACCAACAGCTGTCCCTGCTTCAAGAGATAATTTCAAAGTAGGTATAACTTCTAATAGTTTTCGTATAGCTCTGCTATTGCAGATCAGGCTTTCTTAGAAGAAGAAAAAGGAGTGAGTTGTCTGGAGTAATGTACTGAGCAAAGCACATAGATTTGGTGCTTCCTGATGGGAGGAAGACAGAAGCCAAGGTTTGGTTTCCAGATCCTGATAAAAATACTGTTGTCAAATCTGATAACAAATTGTGTATATTCCAAAAAAAACTGAAGAGATTTGGGTACAGATTTTGGCATGGAGTTATCTATTTAAATGCTAGACATAACAGGGGAATGAATATTATTTTTTCTTGACAATTTTTTACTTTGTAGAGTTACTTTGCCATATGCTGGTCTGGGAAAGTCAGCTTAAGCTGAAATATAAAAAAAGACCAAGCCAAATAATTTATTGTGCCCCCCTCCTGTCTGCACACTAATAGTCATTTTCCCATTTTTTTGTTCACTGTCCTTACTTAACTGATCAAATTTTCTGGATCTTTTTTCAAACAATAATTTACACAAAAGCATATTATCAAACAGTGTTGCCTAATAGCCAACTGTTGCTCCCGTGTCCAGATTTTAATCTTACTTCTTTTCCAACTGCAACAAGAAAGCAATCATGTGCTAGGCAGAAGATTAAAATTTTGCAATAATTGCCTTCATTTTGAAACCTTTAGGGGGTGGGGAAAAAAGTCAGTTGGCTTTCATCCACAACATGTGATAGTCAGATTAATCACAGAAGTATATTCTGCGTGTAAATGCATCCAGGGTAGGAATGGGGAAGGACACTGCAGGGTGCACAGTAGCAGAAGTCAGTGGTGAAGCATTCCCAGTTGGGTGGAGAAGTTTCTTTCACACTCAGGTCATTGGAACAGTCAGAGAGAACTCTCCATGCACTGAAGCATAACGCTGATGCTCTCCTGCTGCTCTGTGAGGATGTTTCTGTTTGCCATGGGCTCACTGCTGGTCATCCTTCAGCCATCCACTGGGCAGTTCCCCAGAGTCTGTGCGAACACACAAAGCTTGCTGAGGAAGGAGTGCTGTCCTCCCTGGGCTGGAGATGGGTCCCCTTGCGGGGAGCATTCCAACAGAGGAACCTGCCAGCGCATCCTTCTCTCTCAAGCTCCTCTGGGACCACAGTTTCCTTTCTCAGGAGTGGATGATAGAGAGGATTGGCCTTCTGTGTTTTACAACCGGACATGCAGATGCAGAGGCAATTTCATGGGGTTCAACTGCGGGGAATGCAAGTTTGGCTTCTCGGGACAAAACTGCACTGAAAGGCGACTCAGAACGAGAAGAAACATCTTCCAGCTCACCGTCAGTGAGAAGGACAAGTTCCTTGCCTACCTTAACCTAGCAAAGAATATCCCTAGCAAGGACTATGTCATTGCTACTGGCACATATGCTCAGATGAACAACGGCTCCAACCCCATGTTCAGAAATATCAACGTGTATGATCTCTTCGTCTGGATGCATTATTATGCCTCTCGAGACACACTTTTAGGTGGCTCCAATGTGTGGAGGGACATTGATTTTGCCCATGAAGCTCCTGGTTTTCTGCCTTGGCATCGTGCTTTTCTGCTGCTGTGGGAACGTGAGATACAGAAGATAACGGGTGATGAGAACTTCACCATACCCTACTGGGACTGGCGAGATGCAGAGGACTGTGTAATCTGCACTGATGAATACATGGGTGGCCAACACCCCACCAACCCTAATTTACTCAGCCCAGCATCATTTTTCTCCTCATGGCAGGTAAGGACAGGCAAAGGGATGAAGGTAAGGGGAGGGTGAGAGGATAGGGCAGAACTAGGGAAAGGGAAAAGCTGATCAAGTTCCAACTATTCAACCTGACTTCAGGTACTTAAGAGAGGTGCAGAATCTGGAGAGAAAGTAAACTGCTTTCCAGATTTTATGTGGATCTTCATTTAGAGTATTCATTCATCTCTCTATCTCTGCTTTGACTGTAGAACATATTTCATTATGAATAAAAATCAGTCTAGAGGGATGAAAGTCATGCTTTTGTTTCCAGGCGTGAGCTTTAACAGACTGAATAGGATTGTGTGTGCTGGAGCAGCCAGCTGAGTTAAAGAAATGTTTATGTATGCAAATAGCTAACAAACAATCACTGCAAAATGGTTGGTGACTGAATGAAGTAAATGGTTCTAAGAAGATCTACTCCTCTCTGTGACTTTCTACATCAAGAGTTAAAACTAGCCAATTAGTCTTGTCTGCTTTCAACATAAATAAGCAAATAAATAAGTAAATAAACCTTAGAGCGTGGAAGAAACATCTGTGCTGTTCACCTCAGTAGTTCAAAAGAAAAATAAGAAGCGATCTTTGTTGCTCAAAGGAAATAAGTAAGTTCGAGAGCTATGCCTTCCACTTACAAACACTGTGAGTTAGTTTGTAAGCCAAGATTACATATTTACCTAGGTGATACAGTTCTCATATATTCAAACTATACTGTGCTGTTCTAACACTGAGAGCTTCTAGAGTTTGTTTGGCTCTTGCTCATTATTATCACAGTGCCTAAAATACAGTAGCAGAGGTCTGTTGGCTTCTACAGATGTACTCCATAATGACAATAACAACAGTCCCTTCTGGCACTGAAGTCTATGATTATGTTGGTGTAAATCGAGCTCTGTTCTATTTATTTCTGTACCAACAACCCAAATGAAGATTGAGCAGTGTTAGTGATTTAATGGGAAGTGAAAGAGATACAAGCCAGCAGCTCACTGATATTCTGGCCTTACAGAACAACAACTAACTGGGGCTAGTGGGCTGGTTTTGTGTATTTAATCTTGACTTGTGCCCTCTAAATAATGTGGTCTACGTCTAGTCCTGTAAACTCAAGCATTTCCATCTACTATAACAGACCTATTTGAGGATGTTCTCTGGCACAAATTTTGTATGCATTATATAAATACATATGTATCTAAACATACATACTATGTTAAATGTATGTGTATAATTATATTTAGTTGTCCCCCCTCATAGGTACTTTTCAGGGACCATTTCTAGGTGGCTGTTTGTATGAAGTTACACTCTTCAGGAAACTAAGATGTTGTGTTTTATTTTTAGCATAGCTATGGATTATTTCATGCTGTTTGGTCTGATTTTGGACTTGGAGCAAGGAAATGGACTCAGTGATCCTTATAGGTCCCTTCCAATTTGAGATATTCTGCAATGCTGTAATTTGGTCTCAGTGCCCAGGAACATTCCTAGCCACATATATTTTATCCATAGACATAAAATAAATAGAGTCAAAAAACATGTATTTTGATTTCATATATAAAGATTACCCTTATTTCTAATAGTAGGAATCAAGATGAACTCTACTGACTAAATTGGACTGCATTATCAGAATGAAGTGGATCTGATCCCGGTCTGTGCACAACTAAATAGAGAGTTACAGGAAATGGTACAAGTGTTAACGTGGAATAAATGAAACTAGAATTGAGCTGGCTATATTTGTCAAGTGGAGCTTTTAGTGCAGTGTACTGGATGAGACAACCAAAGCCGTAGGAGGTAGGTTGTATAAAGGAATCAGCAAGCTGCTAGCAACATTTTCTAAAAGCCCTGGAGGGATCGGATAGTTAGATTTAGCTCCCTTTTTCAAAGATATTATTAACCATATCCAAATTCTTAGAACTTCTCCATCCTAGAGATAAGAACCCAAACGCTTTGTCAGTCACAGTGAATATATTTAAGAATTAGTCAGTTTATAACTTTTCATTTAAGGTTATTGTCGTAGAGATATCATGGAAACAAACACATTTTATGAAATCAGTGGCTTTAAAAACACATATATTTTATAACTTCAGTAGGCACAACAATGAATATTGTTCTATATTTAAAATGCATTCAGTGTCAGTATCTATGACTGCAATCACCTAAGTTCTTTGATGAAGCTTTCCAAGTCATTTCTGAAAGTGAATGTTTATCACTTATATTTTTCAGTCACTTCTGGAAATGTTATACTTTCCAAAATAGCTTCCAGTTTCCAAAATAGCACAATTTCAAATTCAAAGGGGGTTATTTAACTTTAACATCCACTACCAGCTGCCTTGTCCAGGAAAGAATGACCGAGATTGAACAGAGTGACATTTTCAGTCAATGAGCTTGGGGTGAAGATGCAAAACTAACTGATATTTCTTTACTGGCATTGAATCCAATTTTTAACACTTGCTGACAATGGAATAATTTAGTTGATACAGTTGCTTTAAATAGCAAAAAATAAGAGATTAGAATCTCACTCCAGAAAATTGAGAGGAAACAAACACAGCCTTAACGTCAACCACAAAGCATAGATCTGCTGCAGAATATGTTGATTATCTAAGCTCTGTAGATAAACAAGAGGATTTAAAGAAAAAAAAAAAAGAGAGAGAAAGAGAGAGAGGGAGGAGAGGAAGATCCAGAAATGTGGAGGAATTTAGGTTTTTAATAAGCATACAGATCAAAAAGAAAGCAAGAGAAACCTCTTGAATAACGCGTCTGAAATGTAGTGTCCTTTTACAATATTAAGTCTGTTTCTAAAGCATAACAAAACAATGTCTGCTACAGGAGGAAATTCTTCTCAAGATACAGTTATGGAATTGTTTTAAAAAGGCAAAGCATCTATTTGCAGAACAGCATCTATCTTTTTTTTTTTAATCCCTAAAGAAAGGAGAAAATACTTTATTCCATTGAGAAGTTGCCATGGCAACATGGATACCCATGAATACATGCTGAAATTCTTGCTTTCCCCTTACTTTTATTTGGCATGCTGCCGTTACCACTTAGCTGAGTGAATTATCAGTCCACATTTTCCTGATGTTTACCACCTAAGTGAAACTTTTGATTCCTGCCTCTGCTTTAGCCAGAAAGTTTACCAGGGATCTTTAGTGGTTTTGTTTGTTTGCTTCTTTCATACTTCAGAGTGGGTAGAAAGGATTTTCCTATGCTTTCAGATACTTGCTTTTGATGATTCAAATGTTGCATTTAGATTTATTTAGGAGTGCATGGCACCTTTACCAAGTTTTATAATTCCACACCAATTTATCAGAGGGCAAGGTGGGAAATGCAGCTCTTCCATGACATTTTGAGAGTTTTACTGTTTATGTCTATAATTATTCAAGCTAATGCATTTGCTAAAGAAATAATTATGATGCCTTGCTTAAATAGAAGTGGGTGAAATTCCACTCTCCTCTTCACCAGAGACAATTTGGGCTGCCCAGAGAGGTTGTGGATGCCCTGTCCCTGGAGGTGTTCAAGGCCAGGTTGGATGGGGCCCTGGGCAGCCTGGTTTATCATTAAATGTGGAGATTGGTGGCCCTTCATGTGGCAGGGGAGTTGGAGATTTGTGATCCTTGAGGTCCCTTCCAACCCTGGCCATTCTATGATTCTGTGGGGAAATTACTGAAGTCAATGGAGCTACAAATATAAATATAAATAAATAAATACCTAAATAAATTTTAAAAGCCTTCTGCAATTAAAAGCAGAATATTTCTGCTGGGATTTAGCATCAGAGTTCTGGGTTTTATCCCCCATGTGCTAGACAATCAATGAGGAAAATAATGCAGGAGAATATAAATGCTGTTTTAGATTTGTAGTTGTGCAACCAGGCTACACCACTGACTTCATCCTCCATCCCTTGAATTTTCTCTCTGCTAAAACAAAAGTTATTTGTGAGAAGTAATTGCATAGCGTGGAGGGCTGCCTACTCTCAGCTGTGGTGGTGCAAGCCTAGAGCCAACTTTTTGATGCAAGCAGTAAGAATTTCCCTTAGCACTTCTTTCTGTATCGTCCTGTAGAACTACAAATGGAAAGATACTACAAATGGGAAATACACTCCGAAAATACCAAATGGATACAAGCCTCTTGAACTAATAATGGCAGTACTTTAGATCCATTACTTGGAAATATGACTTGATAAGAAATAATAATTTCTGCTATTCAGGCACTGTTACTTAATTCTAAGCACAGTTTATCACGGAACTGTACTGCTAGTTGAATAATCTGAGGGAAGAATTCGAAGCACTGTTTTCTGTCCACCTTTAAAAATGGAAATTGTAGAATGGCTTAGGTTGGAGAGGACCTTAAAGATCAGCACTTCCGATCCCATGCCACATGCTAACAGCCACTGAATCAAGCTGCCCTGAGCCTCATCCAATATAGCCTAGAATGCCTCCAAAGATGGGGCATGAACAACTCTGTGGGCAGCCTGTCCCAGCACCTCACCATTCTCTGAGTAAAACATTTTTTCCTAACATCTAACTTAAATCTACCTTATTTTAATTTAAAGCCATTTTCTCTTGTCCTATCACTTTTGGATTGTGTGAAAAGTCAGTTCCCCTCTTGCTAGCAAGCATCCTTCAAGTATTGGTAGGCCACAATGAGGTCTCCACAGAACCTTCTCCTCTCCAAGACAAACAGGCCCAACTCCATCAACCTTTCTTCATAGGAGAGCTGCTTTCGTGCTCTGATCATCCTCTGGACCTGCTCCAACACCTCCATATCCTTCCTGTACTGGGCACCCAAGACCAATACTCCAGCTAGGGCCTCACTAGGGCAGAGGAGAATGGGACAATCACCTCTATATGATGGTCTGTTGATGCTGCCCAGGATGCAGTTGGCCTTCTGGGCTGTAAGGGCACACTGCTGGCTCATGTCTAGCTTTTTGTCTATCAGGAGTCCCAAGTCCATCTCTGCAGAACTGCTCACAATGAGTTCTTCTCCTATCTGGGATTGCTCCAACCCAAGTGCAACACTCA